CAGGCATCTCCAGCACCTGGGCCATGCTTGTGGCTGAGTCCCCAGCCCAGGAGGAATCCAACAACTACCCAGCCCCAGGCAGGACAGCACAGGGCAGGGGAACACCCCAACAGCCACCTTTGCACTTTCCCAGGACACCAACTCCATTGGCTTTTCTCTCTCAAAGGCTCCCTTGGCAGGGGCAGAGGAGCACAACCTACTGAGAGGGCAGTGCCTCTGTCCCCATGGTGTCCAGGCCGGGTTCAAAGTGACACCAGGGTGATGCATCTCTCAGCACAAGCTGGAATTGCATCTGGCCAGTGCACATGAGAAAGGAAAAAACATCCTTGTGCTCCAAATTCCACAAAAGGCCTGGCTGTCATCCACACTGGGTGAAACGGGCACTCRTCACCAAGTGAGACAATCCATTCACAGCTTCCCCCTGCATGGACTAACATGCACAGACAGGAGCTAAMAACAACAGGGCATGGAAACTGGTCCAGAAAGGAATGGTCAAAGGAGAGAAAGCTCTGCTCACAGACATGGAACAAAASGATGTGGAAAAGGGAAGGGCTGCTTAGACTATTTTAAAAAATAGATTTAAATTCTTAAAAAAATAAGACATGCAAGTTGCACACTCTAGGCCAGCCATGGAACTGTAAACACTGCCGAGCCCAGGGTAAAATGAATTAGCAGAGGAGGAATGCTCTTGAAAGTATTCCTGCTCATATGAGCTTGACTGCCCCAGGGGAGAGCTGAAGAAGCCATGAGACATGACTGTGCGGTCTCAGGGCACCACACTAGTGAGGTTATTCAAATAAACTTCCCTCTGCTCCACTCAGCATCAAAGCCTTGCTCACAAATCAGACTTAAAAAACCACAATCCACTGCTACACTTCAGCAGCTGGGAGAATACAGCCAAACACAACATACTTTGGTGGAGAGAAAAGCTGAGAGGGATGTGCACAAGGCAGCAAGCTCGAGTCCTAAGGCCTAAGCAGGATGCATCTCTAACAGCATTTCACAGAAACCCAGAATAGTTTGGGTTGGAAAGGAACTCAAAKCTCATCTCATTCCAATCTCCACTGCCAGTCATGGGCAGTGTTATACCCCAGTCACTTAATTCCAGGGTTAAAACCAAGGCTTTTTTGCTCTGATTAGACTCAAAGGAGAAAATCTCAGATAGTCTCAAGAGGTAAAAATCACATCTGAGTGGGGCAGAGGGGCAGAACTGCCCCCTCCCCTGCTGCCCACGCTGGGGGGTCAGCCCAGCACATGAGGAGTTTCTGGGTCCCAGTACACAGGGCTGGGGCATGTCCAGCTCTCACCTACCAGCACCCACAAGTCCTTCTCCCAGGATTGCTCTTGATCTGCTCATCCCCAGCCTGGACTGATCCTGGTGGTTGCCCCAACACAGGCACAGCATTAGTACTTGGCCTTATTTAACCTCTTGAGAAACCCATGGGTCACTTCTCAAGCTTGTCCAGGTCCCTCTGGATATCACCCTGTCCTTCAGGTGTGGCAGCAGTACCAGTCACCTTGGTCATCTGCATTTTCTCCTCAGAAAGCATTAACCCCACATCCCTGTTACACAGGGTCCATTTCAGCCCAGTCTTGATTTAAAACCAAACTCAGTAAAAACCAGGCTCAAAGCTTTTAAAAAGCCCTCATGCCTAACAGCTCTTACCAATAGGACCAAACTGCTTCCTTTAGGAAAGGAAAATACCTCTCCCTTTTCTACTTCTGTTTCCCAACCAAGTGACCTCTTCCTTCTGGCCTTTGTTTAAACACCTTAGGTAAATGTCAGCTCAGCCAGGCCCCAAACCAAAGCCTGTTCAAGCCAGGGAAAAGTCTCCTGCTACCTGCAGGGCTTTGGACCACACATGAGAGCCACTGGTAACATCATAGAGGTGATGCTGTTGCAGATCCTTCACCACCAGAAGCAGATCAGGACTGTGCAGTGCTTGTCTCAACACAGATGGGCTCTCCTCACCCTGAATACAACTGAACCCTGAAACAACTCAGCCTGAGTTGTTGGAAACAGGGGAACAAAATACAGCCTGAGCCTTACCATAGTCTCTTCTTCCAGATGACAAGCCATGGGATGAGAAGAAATGACCCCAAATTTCACCAGATGATGTATAGATTGGGTATTAGTAAAAATGTCTTCACTGAAAGAAGAGGCATTGAAACAGGCTGCTCAGAGAAGTTTTGGGATTAGTCAAGACTTGTAGACAGTGTGGACAGGAAGTGTGCACAGACAGAGCTACAATGTGAAGATTCAAAATCAGACCCGATWGTGGAAGATAGGCATGTAAAAGATTACAGAGAAAACCCCTCCAGCAAAAAAAGGATCAAAATGCCCTGTTTCCTTGCTGGAAAGGCATTGCCAGTGACTGGTGGGGCTGCTCAAGCTGTCTAGGCACTGCAACATCATCGACTGTAGCTGTTTTCTTAATAAACTTGATAATTGGCATGAAAACTCAGACTGAACTTGAGTGTCTGGTTTCCTTTGCACAGTAAGAGCCTCTTTCCTCTGAAGTATGAAAAAAAAAAAGGAATGCATGTCTGGCTGCCAYGGCCAACTCMGATTTGCTGGATTTATTGYTAAATGCTWAGTTTTGAGACTGCAGTGGGATCCAGGAATGTTAAAAATCAGCAAACTCTTACCCCTCTGATACTCAGCAGCCTTCTACATAGAAGAAGTTACAATAAATGTATAAAAGCAACTAAATACACAACCCCCAGCAGAGATGAGAAAGAATTAAGAACAGAACATAGAGAGCTCTGGGAGGGTTTGAATCAGCCCCTGTACAAGCAGCATACTGCCAGCCATTTCTGCAGCACGGTGTCCCCCGAGGAGGGGCAGCACTGTCAAAAGAGCTTGAGTCCAAAGTCTCCAGCATTGYCAGCCTGACAGGGCTGAGTCCAGATTCTATTCTTAAAACTCTAAAACACCAGGTTTAGAACTAAGAGATATGATTTCTACTTTAACTTTAAATTACGCACGCATTTGGCTCCTGAAATGAGAAGCTGAAGAACGCAAAAAAAATGCAGCTCTCAACAAATTTGTCAATATGCACTGAGAGCAGAATTCCCAGGAGGCAGCAGGCCTTTCTCCCCAGTATCAGGGTTATGCAGCACTGCAGCACACACACTCTGCTCCACCTGCACTATTCCTGGCTTAGCTCTCTGTCACTTCAGCTCTGGAGGAGGGCCAGCCCCAATGCAGACAGCTGTAGCCATCTGAGATCACCCACACACTCACCTGCAATGCAAATTGTACCTGAGCCTGCCCACTTGACCTTTGTTTTTCTGTAAGCCTTGAWGCAAGCAAAGCTCAGCAGTAAGTGACGAGACAGGGCACCTGCCCTTTGAACACAGCCACACTCAGACATTCCTGCMACACTTTCCCAGCTCCTGCTTTCTGAGCTCACAGGGCCTCCCAAGCCAGCCCAGGGCAAAGGTAAGCTGCATCCCAGGCATGCTTGGGCTGTTGAGGGCTGCACTACTCGCCACACAGTCCAATTCCATCCATCTCTAATGATGCAGCATTTATTTCCATAACCCACAGAGTAAAATCTGCCCGACTTGACCTGCCAGAAGCCCAGCTAGGACAGTCCCACTWAGAGATCTCTTTTGCCATCTGTTATGATTCTGAGGAAAAGCTGTGGTCTCCACCATAATACACTTCAGACCTTCTGCATATTAGGACTTCTCCAGAGTAACAGTGGTTCTAGATAAATAAACACAGCTGATTGTGAGGGTTAAAAGGTTTTGAGTGATGTAGCCTATTTGAAAGTACAACAGAAATCTGGACTTCTATCCTGTAGCAACCATCCCTAAATTGACAACAGTCTGTGTATGTTGTGACACTTCCCATGCTATTGTCACTGGTTCCAGTGCTTTCATACTGTTATGCTGCCAGCAAGTTTCTTTCTTTGGGTTTTTTTCCTTTTGTTTTTTTGTTTTGTTTCCAATCTTTAGCATCTACTATCCCTTCCACAGGCAACATAACAAGACATTGCAGAAAGCCTAYAACCATGTCAGAACCTGCCTGACGTAAATCTCTCTAAAAGGTTTCTCATCCCTCAATTCCCACAGGCTGCCTTTCCAGTTGTGGGCAGGGACTGTTTGCAGGGAAAGCTGAAGTTCCCTTGCAGGAACACAGCATAGGGCATATTTTTGCTTTTGACCATCATCTTTGGAACCAGTCTAACAGCAGCAGCAGAAAACTCACATCTAAGCAGGGACAAAGCTCAAAGCACCTGCTCATCTGGAACAACCTTAAGGGCCAAGACTCCCTCAATATGAGAAAGGAGAAGCACAGGTCCCATTGCAATTCYAGCTATTGCTGTGGGAAATGAAGCATGAAGGAAAGGAGCTCCCTTGTGATGAGCTGATTCTGGCTCCCAGCATCAGCAATGTGAGCTGGAACAGGGGAAACTCCCATGCAGTAAATCTGCAGCTGCCAACGGTGAGGAAAGAAGCTTGGAATGAGTGACCTCCCCATGCAGTGAGATAACACCACCTAATGAGGAAGGGCAGGAGGTGCCTCCTAGAATGAGACAGAACCTCCTGGGAGGATACCACAACCCAGGACATYTCCCTGCCAGAACACAGCAGAGAGGAGTTCTCATTAAATCATTAAGGCAGGGCACACTGCCAAACTGCCCACAGCCCTTTCAGAAACCAGGCCCCACCTTCCAGGCTATCCCAGAAACATGCCTTCTCCCAGAGAGGTGGCTCCATCCTGTTCCTTCCCACCCAGCCCTGCCTGTGTATGTGCCCGGGCACAGTACCTGCGGTGAAAATCTGCGCAGCCACAGCCAGGAAGGCGTCGGACACCACGGTCTCCGAGTGCAGGGAGATGTTCAGCTGSCGGGCGATGTTCCGGTACACGTTGGGGCGAATGTACTCCAGCTCATCCCCTGGGAACAAACAGCCAGSAGTCAGCACACAGCACCGAGTCCTGCTCTCACCATGGAGCAATTGTGACTGGGGCCTTCAGCCAAAGAGTCTAAGCACCAGCTCCACCTGAGCTAAAGAGGCAGCGGAGTGTTTAGGGTTGTTTAAATGCAATTCCCTACCATCTGCACCCTTTTTTCCCAATTTGCTCTGTGCCTGGGACTCCTAAAGGGAGTGGGGGCAGGCAGTGGCCCTGTAYCAGCAATGTGGCTGCAGTAATCCCTGATATAAATGCTGTTCCCAGGCTGGCTGSCTGCCTTTCCTCCAGCACAGGAGACAGGCCTCAGATAAGCAAGGCCATGTCATTTTATTTCAGAAGTGAGAAGGAGGCATGTACATCCACATAAGCTTTCGGGAGATACACCCTTTCTGGGCACCCCATCAGGCTTGTACAAATCTCCTGAAGTGCCTGAGAGCGACTCAAGAATGCTGAAAGCTGACGGAAGCCAAGGATCCACCCAGAGCTGCACAACATTAATTAAACAACAAGACTCTCAACCCAGTTATTTCATGCTCACACAGGCACTTGAGAGTCAATCTGGAGTATTTTCACTCCTCCAAATGGTTAAAGAGATGTTCATTTGCACRGCTGACTGCTCAGTAGCAAGGCTCCTGACACACACAGACGTGCTTTCACCTCCAGAGTGTTTTCTGCCCAGCTGGGAAATGGCTGGAGGTGTTAGGCCAGCTTGAAGACCAAGAMAAAAATACCAAGGACAAGCAGAGAACCTCCTCCCAAAGGACTGAGCTAAGCAGCTTGAAAAACAACAGTAAAGCTTTTCCTCTGTAGCAAAACAAATCATTTTTGAGTAGTAGAATTGATATAGCCCAGTTTCCAAGGAACTTCTCTCTCTGTCGAGGGTCATGGATTTTTAATGAAGGTTGCACAGCTGCTGTAGGAATGTGACACAACACAAACATCGCATGGGACCAAGGCCCTCWGTGCCCCGAGTGCCCTTTTGACTCAGATTTAGGACACACTGTTCTTTTCCTGCCCAAGGGATGCTCTGGGAAGAGGAAGAGYCATCTCAACAGCTTTATATCCCACTGCAAGACCCAGGTGACTTGGCCCAGATAGAGAGCAACTGATTCTCCTCAAAATTTTATTCATATAGGAGCTAAAGAGGAAGATGTCACTGCGATCAGGAGTTGTTACAGAGTCTTTAGCTACTGACCCTTAATTTGTTCATCTGACACGCAGCACAGGAAAAGCCCAGCTCTACAGAATCCCACAGCTGAGCTCTTCCAGTCCTTTCTGAGTGTGGGATTGTCCCTGCTTGATGGCAAGAGGAAACCTGCCAACACATGGTCAGCCCTGATAAGAGGAGACCTTACTCAGACCACTCAACAGCTGTTTTCTCCTCACAGGCAGCACACAGGCTTCCTGGTAAATGTAAGGAAATGGGGATAGCCCTGGYTAGCTGAGAGGGAGGCACAGGAGCCTGGGAGCAGCCCTTGGAAGCCTGCCACTATTACAGCTTCAAACAAGCAGTGCCTGGAAGCCCCAGATGAGATCAGGGTTTGGTTGCAGGCACATATGCCCTGCTCTGCAGCAAGGCACAGGGCAGCCAGGAGCATCTGGGGAAGGAAAGCACAGGAAAGCATTGCCATGCTCAGAGAGCCTCCCTGCCCCAGCAGCCCCAGGACCTCTCCTGCGGCGTGTCGGTGTTGATTTCCAGTGTTCGTGCTCTGATGCCCAACTTTGCAACATTTAGAGCAATCTGGGGGCTTTTCCTTCTTCCTCCACTGATTATGGAAGAATTAGCAGGGCAGCAGTGCCAGTTCCCATGTGCAGTGGTCAAAGGGCACTTTCCTGGGCCTTGGCCAGAGGAAATACAATTTCAGATAAACCAGGCCTCTGACACACACAGCAGGTTGGTCTGGGGTGCTTCATTAGACCATACCATTAGGTTTTACCATGTCTGACTCAGTAATTGCACTAATTAGCTGCTAAGSCTCACTGAGCTGATGGAGTCTCCCTCCCTATGACTTCAAACTCCATCACCTGTGCCCGGGACCTCTGCTGGCCCACCAGGCAGTTCATCAGATTCTCTGTGTGCAAGTGGGCTAGGAAATACTCCAATTTCCCATCTCTACAGGCTTCTCAGCACTACACAAAGGAAAAAAAAAACTGGTCTGGCTTGTTGCACTGCTTAGGAAGTGGCTAAGGATTACCATTCCTGGCAGGTGGCTGGATACCATTTGGCCTTGTGCTGGTTAGAGCAGCAAAGAGGAAAAGAAAGAGACGGACCATGTGGCAAGTGGAGTTTCTAAAGAAATAGGACAGAAATGACTCTTCATCCTAATGAGGAGGACTGCTCAGCTTTCTGGTTGCATGGGTACCACATGGCACTCTCCAAAGAGATTTTCTCAAAGAAGAAATCATGTTCCTGGGACTTTCAGCCAAATCTTTCCATCTGGACATGCATAAGTAACAGCAGAGTCATCCAGGAGACGCCTTCAGATCCAGTGTGCCACCTGCTTGCCCTTTACCATGTTCCTGGCCACCCACAGAAGAACAGGTTGAAAGCAAATAAATCTCAACCCCCAAACCAGGCAGAGAAGAGAATGAGTACAAATAGACAGTGAGATTGACAGGAGAACAAAAACTAAATCCCCCAAAGAACAAACAAGTACAAAAACAGAAANAAAAAAAAAAAAAAAAAAGTCAGTTAAAAGAAACACAGCTATGCCTTAAAAAGAAACTTGGGATCAAACAGGTAGAAAGAGGAAAAAATAGGGAGACCAGCCCCGGTCCTGATTTTGTTAGGCTCAGCTGATGGTTATTTTACCAGACTKKTTKRA